GTGGAGTCTGAGGGGAAATGCCAGAGTGAAAAATGGTATGCTAGTATTTTAGGAATATTGTCTTCTCTTTTTTTAACATTTAGTTATTTTTATTTTATGTGTATGAGTGTTTGGCTGCATGTTTGTGTACTGTGTGTACCTGGTACCTGTGGAGACTAGGAAAGAATATTGGCTTCCCCTGGAACTTCAGTTAGATGGTTGTGAGCTGCCATATGGGTGCTGGAAACCAAACTCTTGTCCTCTATAAGAGGAACCTCGTCCTCTAGCAAGTACTCCTACTTGCTGAGTCATCTCTCCAGTCCCAATGGTGTATTTTTTAGTCTATATACATAAACTCTTTAACCCAATTTCAGTGAGGTGTTGTATCACCAACCCACAATCTAGTATCTAAATGTTCTCTTTACTCTTGTTTGTTTGCTACATTCCTTCTCCAATCTGATCTTTCTGAGGTGCTAACTCTCCACTTTCCCTGTGTGATTCTCTTTTTCCCTCAGGCCACATTAACCTTCATATCTGTGGTTCTCTGGTCTCAAACTCAGATCTGCCTGCCTCTGCCTCCCAAGTGCTGGGATTAAAAGTATGCACCACCATCCCCTAGTGATTTTATTGTTTCTTAGTGGCTGAGTAACACTCTATTGTGTAAATGTACCACATTGTCTTTATCTATTCATTTGTTACTGAACATCTTGGTTGTTTATAATTTCTGGCTGTAGAGAAGCAATAGACATGACTGAGCAAGTGTCTCTAGTAACATAAACCTTTACCTTTATGTCCAAGAGTGGTATGGCAGGATCTTGAGGTAGATAGATTCCCATCTTCCCGATGAGCTGCCACACTGATTTATTTCCAAAGTGGCTATGCAAGTTTTCGCTCCTACCAACAATGAAGGTATGTTCCCCTTGCCTCCACATCCTTGCCAGCATGAGCTGTCATTGTGTTATTGATCTTTTCTGTTATGTTTGGTGTAAGATGAAGTCTCAAAGTATTTTTGGTTTGCATTTCCCTGATAACTAAGGATGTTGAACTTTTCTTTTAAGTGCTTCTCAGCCATTTGGGTTTCTTGTTTTGAGAATTCTGTTTAGATATATACCATATTTTTTAATTGGGTTGTTTTCTTGATTTTTTTTTTGAGTTTTTTATATATCTTGGATATTAGCCCTCTATCGGATGTATAGTTGATAAAAATCTTTTCCCATTCTGGAAGCTGCTCCTTTATCCAAATGACATTGTTTTATGCTATGCAGAAGCTTCTCAGTTTCTTGAGGTCCCTTTTATTGACTGTTGTTGTTCTTAGTGCCGGTGTCCTGTTCAGACAGTCTTCTTTCTGTGCCATCGAGTTCAAGGCTATTCCCACTTTCTCTTCTATCTGATTCAATGTATGTGGCCTTATGTTGAGGTCTTTGATCCATTTGGAGTTGAGTTTTATGCAGGTGGTAAGTATGGGTCTGTTTGGGATTTTTTTTTTTCCTTTTTTTGAACACTACATGAATTTGCAAGTCATCCTTGCACAGGGGCCATGCTAATCTCTCTGTATCGTTCCAATTTTAGTAAATGTGCTGCCGAAGCAAGAACTGTTTGGGATTCTTGTACATGCAACCATCCAATTTGACCAGAACCATTTGTTGAAGATACTTTCTTTTTTTTCAGTGTGTATTTCTGGCTTCTTTATCAAAAATCAGGTGTCCGTAGGTGTGTGGATTTTTCTGGGACTTCAATTTGAGTCCATTAATGGACATGTCTGTTTTTGTGCCAATACCATGCTGTTTTCATTACTAAAGTATTATAGTACAGTTTGAGGTCAGAGATGGTGATACCTCCAGTAAGTGGTGGTGGTTGTTTTATTCAAGATTGTTTTAACTATCCTGGGTTTTTTGTGTTTTCCGATGAAGATTAAAATTTTCCTTTCAAGATATCTTTCATGAATTGTGTTGGACTTTTGATGGGGATTACAGTGAATCTGCAGATTACTTTTGATAGGATGGCCAATTTTACTATATTAATCCTACTGATCCATGAGCATGGGAGATCTCCCTATTTTCTGATTGTCTTAAAGTTTTTATCATACAAGTCTTTCATTTGCTTGGTTAGAGTTACCCCAAGATGGTTTATATTATTTGAGGTTGTTGTGAAAGGTGTTGTTTCCTCAACTTCTTTATTGGTCCATTTGTCATTTGTATATAGGAGGGCTATTGATTTTTATGAGTTAATTTTTTTATCCAGCTACTTTGCTGAAAGTGTTTATCAGCTGTAAGAGTTCCCTGGTGGAATTTTTAGGATCACTTACTTATCCTGTCATATCAACTGCAAATAATGGTACTTTGACTTTTTCTCTTCCTATTTGTATCCCCTTGATCTCCTTCAGTTGTCTTACTGCTCTAGCTAAAACTTCAAGTACTATATTGAGTAAATATGGAGAGAGTGAACAGCCTTGTCTTGTCCTGATTTTAGTGGAATTGTTCTTAGTTTCTCTCTATTTAAGCTGATGTTAGCTGAGGGCTTGCTGTGAAGTGCCTTTATTATATGCTGTGGTTACATGCTTGGCCTTGCTGGGTGTGGGCAGCCATGCCTGAGGAGCAGCAGAAGCAGCAGTCCTGGAAGTTGCAAGGTCTGTGATTGAGGAAGTAGTTTTTTGCTTAAATGATTGAGAATAGTTTTTTTCTAATGATGTAGAGAAAATTCTAAATAACTATAATATTACTTATAGTTAGTCACATTACTATTTTGGGAAGAAGTTTTTATATGTGGGCGTCTATAATATAAACTAAAAAAATTTGGGGTTTTCTCATTAAAATTATGTATTTCTGATTCAATATTGAGTGATAATATAAACAAAATTAGAATATATCTTTAACAATTTAACAATTTTTCAAGACATTCTGAAGTTAAAGATCATTCCTCTTCATATTTAAGTAACTCACTAGCCTACTATTATTAAATTCCCCTTTGTACTTATAAGGAGTAATCATTAAAGTTTCATTTCAAATTTTTATTTACACATTACCAAGCAGATATAAATAGCATTTATGGGGAGGGCAGTTGGAACAGTTGTACAATTATATACTAAATATATGCTTCTGAACAAGAATACGCCAAATGAGGAAATCTTGACATTCACTGTGTAGGATGCCCATGAGCTAGAATTAATTGGGCAGCACATGGAAACCCAGTCAGTCACATCGTAATGACTAAAACAAACTAGTCATCTGGACAGAGAGGGGAAAATGTACTAATAAGCAAGGGCTATCGAGCATGCTGGATTATACACCAGGGAGGCATAAGTAGCAGGGTGAATAGTTTCTCGTGTAGAATTATAGTGTTAGAAAGAAAACTAAATAAATAACAATGAGATTGACTTACTTTGGAATCAGCTAAACTTCTGAATTCATTAAAGAATGAATGTGATCTATTTTTTAGTGGTTTAAGTCTAGAGAAGGAGCAAACATATAATAAATAATCCAGTAAGGTAAGTACTGTTGACAAAATAGCAGGAAGTGAAAGGGGATAAAGTGGTCTTATTTTAAACAAGTTAGGTTGTAATTCAGAGAAAACTTGAAAGAAGTAAGAGTGAAACAAAAATGCATGCCTTTTTAGAGGAAGACTATTCCGAATGATGTGAACAGCCTTTGAAACTACTGACCTAGGATTACAGCATTTTGCCTCAAATTTGCACAGTTTTTAGATTCTTCTTGTGTGGATTGAAGTTTCTGTCCTCACTAGTCCCACAGCCATTCAGTCCCAAATAAACACACAGAGGCTTATATTAGTTTAAACTGTTGGCCAATGACTCAGGCTAGCTCTCTCTTAATTATGAACCCTTTTCTATTAATCTATGTATCTCCACATGGTCTTGGCTTATTGGAGAATGCCCAGGCATCCTACCTTCCCGGTAGCTCCTTGGTGTCTTCCTGGCGACTCACTCTCTGCATTCCTCTCCCCATAATTCTAGTCTGGTCTGGTATCACTGCCTATACTTCCTGCCTGGCTATATCCTGTCTTTCATTGGCTGAAACAGCTTTATTCATCAACCAGTAAAAGAAACATTTATTCACAGCATATAGAAGCGCATCCCCCGGTCATCCTTGTGAGAATCCTTATCAAATTGTAGAAATGTCTTAGTTTATGTAATTACTCATCACTTACTTGAAGATACACAGCATGGTTGACTGAATAATGAAGTACATGCTGAGAAACAACCCTCCATAAAATAGCTGGAAAGACATGAATAGTACCAGGCAGTCATGAATACATTGTTCTCTGTTGACTTTTTTCTTTTGAGACAGGGTTTCTCTGTGTAGCTTTGTAGATCAGGCTGGCCTCAAACTCACAGAGATCCACCTCCCTCTGCCTCCCTATGCTGGGATTAAAGGCGTGTGCCACCACTGCCCAGCTTTTTTTTTAAAAAAAAATAATTTATTTAACTTTTTATTTTATATGCATTGGTGTGAAGGTATCAGACCCCCTGGAACTGGAGTTACAGACAGTGCAAGCTGCCATGTGCATGCTGGGAATTGAACCCTGAACCTCTGAAAGAACAGCCAGTATTCTCAACTGCTGCGCTATCTCTCCAGCCCCAGACATTTCTTAAATAAACTATTTTCCTCGGTATTATTTTTACTCCTGCAATAGAGACATAGCATTAAGTGAGAATTAGTCTTAATTACCGACAGTGTATCTAGCGTAGTACTGCTATGTCGTGAGTCTCAAAGCAGTAATGTCCCTTATGTTAGTTCAACTGACAGTTTTGACAGCTTTTCATAGTCTGGCTGGCTATTGGGATTTTTTCCTTTGTAAAATTTCTTATACTTTTTTATGCTTATTCTATTTCACTGTATTTTTCCATAGGCTTATTGATTGTAATTTCTTTTATGAGTTGCCAGTTCATATCTTCCTTTACTTACTTTATTTAGGTCTTGATATTTTTGCCTTTTTTTTTTTTTACAAAGTTTGTATATTTGTGATTGATGGGAAGTGTAATACTAGAACTGTCACTTTCCCCCAAGGCTTTTAAAGAAACAGTTTTTTCATCGAGCCCTAAAAGTAATGAAAATGAAGTATGATAAAGACATAAAAAAAGAAAAAGATAAAGGAAAATCTGAAAGTGGGAAAGAAGATGATAAAAAGAGCAAGAAAGAAACTGTAAAAGAAGAAAAGACAAAAAAGGAAAAAGAAAAAAAGAAAGATGGTGAAAAGGAAGAGTCCAAAAAGGTAAGTTTCCCTGGAGTTAAATTACAACTTTAAAAATCACTGTGGGGCTGGAAAGATGGCACCAAATCTGCTCTTCGGAGGACCCAGGATCAGTTTCCCCACATGGAGGCTCATAATCTCTGTTGACTCATGTTCTGTGGTGTCTTCTGGCCACCTTGAAAGTTCTGCATGCACATGGTGCAGGCATAAATGCAGGAAAAATGTGCATACACGTAAATAAGAAAGTAAAAATCATTCGTAAAGCTTTTACAGCCACGTGAGATAACTATCAGGACTATTTGTAAACACTGATCTTAAGGGTTTTTACTAGTATTGAAAATAGGACTTTTCATAAATGTCACAGCTTTTGCTGACTGAAGTGTTTTATTCTATTCACCTGTCTGTTCATAGGAGGAAACACCAGGAACTCCAAAAAAGAAGGAAACTAAGAAAAAATTCAAACTTGAGCCACATGATGATCAAGTTTTTCTGGATGGAAATGAGGTAAGATTAGAATACTGGATTTGAGTATGATAGAACTCCAGTTTTTCATAGAACAAATCTTAGAAGTATATTTGATGCCATTACTATGAGAAGAAATAATTTAGAAAAATCTAGTAATACATTTAATTACATGAAAATAACTAATCTAGTTTTATAAGAAGTTAGAATCAGAGTTGACTGGGTGAGTGATAATGAAACCTGAAATCACAACAGTTTAATACAAAATAGATGCTTACTCCTTTCTCGTGAATATACTGTAGGGGTGAGCAGCTCAGGCAGGAAATGCTCCATTGCAGCCCAAGTTCCTCCTTTCTTTTTTCCTGTGTTAGAATCTTTTTGCCAAAGTGCCTCATGGTCCATGATGACTGTTAATCTTAAAACTACATCCACAGAGAAAAAGGAACGAGAGGTGCGTGCCTTCTTTTTTAGCAAACCATCTTATGAACACACTTGTATTCACTGATTACCTGAAGTGAAGTCTTGAAAATGCACTTTTTATATTGAGGGTTTAATTTGCCCAGTTAAAATACAGAATTTCTATTACTATCAAAGAAGCAACAGAATGGTTCTTGAGGATCACCTACTGTTCTCTGGCTCTTCAACAGTGTCTCATCAGACATAGCTGTTGAGAGGCCTGAAATTTGCAACATTGCTAATGCGTTGTTCAAGGAGATAGTTCCATTATACCTTTTGTAATGAGGTTTGTGTGGTGATGGCCTTGCATGAAGACTGTTATGGTAGTCACTTAACTGCTATAGAAATAGTAACTATGTCCTAGTTGCTGAACTATTGTGAATTTCAAGATATATTCTGTCTTGATACACTTATGCCAATTGCCAAATATATAAAAAGCAGAGTCTCCTAGGGACCTCTGTTTAAAATTCTGCAATGAGAAGAGCTCATATATCTTGAGTGAAGTGTTCAGCATATCAGTATGTGCCAAATACTTCACAGGTGCTGAATGGTCCAGTAAAATACATTGAAATTGTCTGCAAGGAAGTTTTCATAGTCTGGTAAATACATAAACACATAAACATCTTTCTGTATTACATTGTAGTAAGCATTACTGGTGTGAGAATACCAATTAGCTTGATTTAATTAGGAAGGATAAGTAGAGTCTGGACACTGTGGACACCTGACTTAAGCCTTCAGAACTGACTGGCAGATTGCCCATAGTACCAGGAAAGAATTATAGGTGTTAGGGAGGGGGCAGACTGAACAAAAACTTCATGCTTGTCATCTTGAAAAGGTTAGGTTGTGTATACACACTCATACACTCATTCTCTCTTTCTCTCTCTCTCTCTCTCTCTCTCTCTCTCTCTCTCTCTCTCTCTCTCTCACACACACACACACACACACACACACACTCAAGAAACACCCTGTCTCCAGACTTTTAAAATTGGAAAATGTCTCCTTTTAAAATATAAGGTTTTATTTAATAAGTGGTGATTAGCAAAATTAATGTTTATGAATCTAATTCCCAGGGAAAATGTAAACAGTAAAATAGAGATTGAATTAGAATCCCAAATGTAAGAAATATAAATTAGTCAGAAAAAGAAAACAAAAGGTGTTGTTCAAAATAGTACTAGGAAATGAAAGAATACTGTAATTTACAGAACCTAGGATCTAAAACTAAGTGTCTTAGTGATTGAGTATAATTCTGATCTGAAAGGAAAAGGTTGTTAGTGTGTTAGAAGTTAGGGCTGCCTTTGAGGAACCATTCACAGTATGGAAGTAGACTTTACTTACAAATGTGACCATAGACCTTTTAAGCACTGAGGTTTCTTGATTCTTCTAGGTTTATGTGTGGATCTATGACCCAGTTCACATTAAAACATTTGTCATGGGATTAATTCTTGGTAAGTAGGAGGATATAAGTAGCTTTTCAGTATAATCTAAAGTTTAGAGGGCAAAATGTAGGCACCCAAAGGAAACTAAAGTAAGACCTGTTTAAGAGGGAACTGTTAAAGAGGATACTTTACATACATAAAGTCAGAATATAAGTAATAAACTAAAATTATTTGTAATAACTAAAAGATTTTTAAGAGATTAACATGGTAGAACAACCTGTTTTGGGTTTTTTTGTTTGTTTGTTTTTTTGTTTTTTTAAAGATAAATGTAGCTCACAGAGGAAGAATCACACTGACCATTCATTGTGAATTGAAGACTTGATCATAATACATAGTGAAGTAGCAAAGATGAAAGTTATAAAAGATAACAGTGAAAGTCCTGGGGGAGGGGTGACCATACTCCACCAATTGATAATATATTGCTTTTTACCTTTACAGAGGCAATTTGGCAATATTTTTCAAATTGTAGATATAAACACATTGACCCTGTAAGTTTTGCAGGAATTTATCCTATATCCACACATTTTGTGCACACAGATGAACACAGTGTATGCACTTACTTGTTTACTATTTTAATCCACATGTTACATTTAAAGAAAACAGTCTAGTAAAATATTGCTCAAATTTTAAATGCCTGTGTCTTTTAACCTACCAATTACATTGAAAAGAATTCATTGTTATGCTTTTTTCAGTGTTGTTGGGTTTTGTTTGTTGTTGTAGTACCTGGAATCAAACCCAGAGTCTTATACATGCTAAGCAAGCACTTCACCACTGAACTATACCCCCAAGCCTAGAACTCATTGTGTTTTATAATCCCAGTCATGCAATATGCATGCACAAGTATATTTGCAGGAGTATTGTCTCTTACCAAGTGAAACTGAAAGTAATTCAAGTTCCTCAGTAGAAGAATGACATAATGGCAGTGTAATAGAAATTCATGAAGCTTTTAAAGAATAAAAAGAGAAAACCACCAAAGAGGGAAATTACATAAGTTCATTTATTTAGAAAAGGTTATTTGTAACTAATTTTTATTGTACTTAAGTAGTCTCTGGGAGTAGAATAAGCTTAGTAGTGTTTACCACTGAACAGTGGGACAAAAGCTGAATAATTTCGTCTTCACTGTAGCCTTTAACTCATTTTTTATATGGATATTAAACTTGTATATGTATTTTTTTTAAAGTTTGGGGGCAAGATTGGGTGGGAAAGAATAATTTAACAAATAACAAAAACAGATACTAGTTAAAATATGATTGGTCAATAGGATGTTATAGGATCCCATTTAGAGGAACTTAAAGTAAGAATTGAAAATTAATTAAACCCAAAAGGATAGTGCTGTAGATTGCTTACAGTGTGGGAGTCACTTGATCATTAATTCCTTTTGATATCTCATTCCAATAAAAACAGGTATTTATCAGATACAAAGTAGATTAGTTTTGGAAGGGTGACATAGCTTATATAGTATATAATAAGAATATACATCTTAATGGTAAAGACCTAAGAACCAGGATTCGAATTTCTTAACAGTTTCCCCGGAGGCCCTACTATAATTGAAAAAAGCTAGAGGTGCTTATGTATAGTTGCCTTAACCACTCTGCCCATTTTTTTTAAGAGTCTGTGAATCTGATTCCCCAGGGGGGAGGGGTGGGGAGTCTTCAGAATTTTGAGACTAGGGTATTGTTTTGTTGATTTTGTTGTTTTTTGTTTTGTCTTGTCTTGGTTTGGTTTTGATTTTTCTTTGTTTTGTTTTGTTTTTTTTTGTTTGTTTGTTTTTTCGAGACGGGGTTTCTCTGTGGCGTTAGAGGCTGTCCTGGAACTAGCTCTTGTAGACCAGGCTGATCTCGAACTCACAGAGATCCGTCTGCCTCTGCCTCCCTAGTGCTGGGATTAAAGGCATACGCCACCAACGCCTGGCTTTGGTTTTGATTTTTCAAAACAGGGTTTCTCTGTGTAACCCTAGCTGTCCTGGAACTCAATTTGTAGACCAGGCTGGCCTCAAACTCACAGAGATCTCCCTGCCATTGCCTCCCAAGTGCTAGGATTAAAGGTATGCGCCACCACAGTCCAGCTGGGGGGTTTTTTGTTTTGTTTTATCTTTTAAGCTTCCTTACTCCTAATATTTTTTTTTTAAATAGCTTCAGAATGACAATAGTTGGTGATTCAAGGAATAGTTTTAATTTATAGACAGTAATTTTTATAACTAATGTAATCTGGACTTTTAAAACATAATAACCTAGTTTAAGAACAATATTGAGTGAAATTGCTGATAATTCATCACTTTTATGCAAATAGTACTTTCTTGCTTCAGGTATTTATCAGTTCCCCCCTAAGAAAAGAATATGTTCACTGTTAATTGTAATCAAGCCATTAAAACATTTGTTCTAAAAGTTTCAGCTTTTTTGTGTGTAACTTTGTCATTTCTTATTCTAGTTATTGCAGTAATAGCAGCCACCCTCTTCCCTCTCTGGCCAGCAGAAATGAGAGTAGGTGTATATTACCTCAGTGTGGGCGCAGGCTGTTTTGTAGCCAGCATTCTTCTCCTTGCTATTGGTAAGTGTCTAATAATAATCATCTTGGTATAAGGTAAGTGTTGAGCACTTAGACCTTAACCCTGAACTCCAATGATGCTGAATAGCAAGATTAACACAGATAAATCAAGACGTGTTCAACCTTCCTTTCTAGGTCAAATCTCAGAGCCCAGAACTGACTATATTGGCTCTTATTGGAATTTGCTATATCTTTTCAAAATTTAATCTTTTGTTAGTATTGCATTTGATAAATGAACATAAATCTGTACAGAATAAGTACAATTTACTTATTTAATTATATGCATATATATCTATATGTGTGTACACATTGAGGGATGATTAAATCAAGTTAAAATATCCATTCCCTTGTTTAGCCATTACTTTTATGGTGAGACTTTTGAAATTTACTCTTAGTTTAAACATATATTACTATATTTTAATCTGCATGTAGTTGTGTTTTAAAAATAGCTAGAATGAAGATTTATTTTTGTAGTGGTGAATCATTATTAGATATTTGAGGTAAGGTAAATGTAACTTATATTAAATATTTAAGTTTAATTCATGTATTCAGTTAAGTGGTTCTAAACAATTTGTTTGCCACTTTAGGGACAATTACAACTTTTCACTTGGGTATCAAAATTAATTCTAGATAATTAAGAAATTAAGTGACTAAAAACCAAATAGGAAAATAAAGTGAATGTATTTTAACATTCAGAATTATTGAGCTCTTTTATGCCTTTAATTTTTAAAGACAGGATCCCACTACATAGCCCTAGCTGGCCTAAACTCACTCTATAGACCAGGCTGGCCTCAAACACACAGAGACCCACCTGCCTCTGCCTTTCCAAGTGCTAGAATTATAAGCACATGCCACCACTCCCAGCCAAGAGTAGTATTGTTTTATAGAAAAATAAATCTATTGTTGAAAGACACAACTTGACCAACATTAACTAAACTAGATTCTTACTCTCTGATTTAATTTTTATTTCTGTAAAGTATCATTGCTATAGCCCTAAACAGTTTTTCTAATCACACCTCCCCCTGGTCACCAGGGCATTCTGAATTGGTGCTACCATCCACATGAACCCAGGAATTTGTCTGCTACTTTTCAGTCTACTGTGGTGACAGACCTCCCCTGCCCCCCATTTCATCTGTGATCCCTGACTAAATGAGCCCTTTTCCACCTAACTTTCATTTTTTTTCCTTCCTCTAGCTTAGTCACCTTGAGAAAAATCCCTTGCTGCTTCTGCAGACAGCACAGCACAATTGTAGGCCAAGAAATAATACCCAATCCTATTAAACAGGTAACTAGTGTCAGTGTGATGCCTATATCAAGGAGAAAAGCCATAGACTTTGAACTCACATTTACATACAGTAAGATGGATGTCACCTGGCTGTCAAACCAGTGAAATTTACAGAAGTTCCTTGAAGTTTTTCAGCAGAGGGTTAGCTCTACTGAATAAAATTATTCTAGTTGCTGTATTTAACTCATAGTCAATGTAATTTGTTAGATTGTTTTGATCTTTAAAATGTTGTTTCTTGAGTTTTGAAAATATTTTTCCAGGTTCCTATGTATATAATATTGTATGGATCAGATAGCCTTCCAATTAAAGTAAGAAACAAACCCAACATGTAATTACAAATATATATTCTAAGACAAGGTCTCATGTCTTGAGACCAAGCTAGGATCAAGATTGCTATGTATCAGAGAATGACCTTGAATTTATGAGCCCCTGTTTCTATTTCCCAAGTGCTGTGATTAGGCATGCCTCACCATGCCTGGTTTTATGTGGTGCTGAGATTAAACCCAGGGCCATTTCCTGCTTACTAGGCAAGCACTCTACCAACTGAGCCCACCCTCCAAATTTTTCTTTGAAATAGTTTTGATCTATGGTCCACTTACAAATCCTGTGGTTTAGAATTGTTCAAAATTAGGAATTTTTTAATATGCATGGTTAATATCACTGGCATTAAAATAAGACTGGCATTTTTCTGAAATGTGGCGCTTTCACTACAAGAATGGTAGGGTGGTACATGTTGTTTTTCTGTGGCTCATTCTTTTATCTATTGGCATATAAAACTGGAATGTAAAAATTCTGCTATGTGCTATGCTCAGTTTACATGTCGTAAAAAGTTCAGTGTTATTTACAACCTATCTAAAATGGTTTTTCTTGGATTTGATAAAATATTTCACATGTCTTACAACTTTGTGAGTCAACTAAAACATCATAATTTGTATTTGAAGGAAAAAATGTATTGCCTCTTTAAAAGTTGCTGATTATCTCTTTTATCGGTGTAATTTACTTGTAAATTATAAATATACTTACCTTCTTTGTGTCATAAAACTTATTTGATATATTTTTTAGTCTCATGAAAATAAAAATACTACTTTATAAGAAAGATAACTTACAAGTACTGCTTTATAAAGTATGGCATATATAAAACTCATTGTCCTTTAATTTATCCAAAGCACAATAATGAAAAAAGCATGGGTCGGCTATTTTGTAAGCTTTCTTTAAAATTGAAAATATGTGATTAAAAAAAAAAAAACAGAACAAAACAAAACTGGTTACCCTAGAACATTTGTATAATCATTGAGACCTTTTAAAAAAGAAAACAAGCCAGATGTGGTGGCACACACCTTTAGTCCCCACACTCAAGGCAGAAGCAGGCAGGTCTCTGAGTTTGAGGCCAGTTTGGTCTACTGAGCAAGTTCCAAGAGAGCCAGGGCTATAGGAAACCCTGTCTTGAAAAAAGAAAGAAGAGGGGAAATCACTAATCTGTACATCCTTGTTAAATACTAGAAAACCATTTGAAATACTGAAGTTTTTGATAATATACTAAGTCATCTCAGCCATGCATGATTACAAAACCCTATGATCCCAGGTACTTGGAAGACTGAGGTAGGATGACAGGTAGGTCAGGCCAGCTTGGATTAGGTAGCAAGTCACAGGCTCTGGACAGTGTAGCCTGTCTCAGAATTTAAAAGGGTTGAGGATACAGTTTTATGTTGCCTAGCTGACAGGCTGACCAGATTCAAGCCCAAATACTAGCCAGTCTTACTGTGTTAGCATTATGTTTTCTGGGGTTTCTTTGGTTATTTCTCCAAATGCACCACCACTATACCTAGCTTATATTTTAGATACATAAGATTTTTCTTAATATTGAGGCAGTTGGTACTTAAATAAACATGATTTACCTAATTAGTAAAACAAGAATTTGACTATAAGAATTTTCTAATGTCTAAATTCTTTTTCCAATACTGAGCTATCTCTAAATGGATTAGTACATGCTTTAGCTCTACAACATATTTAGGGGCCACTGAAGTGTTTAAATTTATTTTAAAATCAGAAATAATATATATTTCTGTGTATATACTTGTTCAGCATTATGTTTGCTTTTATAACATACTATGTGTTGAATGTAGTTTTAGTATTTTTTTAATCAAGACAAGTACCAGGAAGTAAGACCATTACATTTTCCTTTTTTACCAGTTGGTTTCTTAATAATATCATGCATAACTCTTAAATTTTCTTCTCTCATGAATGCATCAACTTCCAACTGAGTACTATGTTTACTGAAGTACAACATCACAAAATACATAAGTATATGTCTATGAAACAGCACCCAGATTTGAAAAAATAGAATTTTTTAAGAGTGTTATTTCAGCATTTGTGCCATAAGTTCAGAGCAGATACTCTACTATTATAATATTCTTATCTGCTAAGCTAATCTGATTTTAAATATTCATCTTTATGGTGCATAAATGTGCAAATAAAGCTATTATCTCAGTTTCTTACTCACAGATCTTCCCTGTAGTTGATTGAGAGCTTAATTTATTCAGGAGACACTTTTCTCCCACAGCTCGCTGTATTCTGTTCCTCATCATCTGGCTGATAACTGGAGGAAGGCACCACTTCTGGTTCTTGCCAAACCTGACTGCTGATGTGGGCTTCATCGACTCCTTCAGGCCTCTGTACACACATGAATACAAAGGACCAAAAGCAGACTTAAAGAAAGACGAGAGATCGGAAACCAAAAAGCAGCACAAGTCTGACAGTGAGGAAAAATCAGACAGTGAGAAAAAGGAAGATGAAGAAGAGAAAGCATCAGGAAATCATGGAACAGACGGCTCAGGTGGAGAGCGACACTCAGACACAGACAGTGACAGGAGGGAAGATGACCGATCCCAACACAGTAGTGGAAATGGGAATGATTTTGAAATGATCACAAAAGAGGAACTGGAACAGCAGACAGATGGAGATTGTGATGAGGAAGATGATGACAAAGATGGAGAAATGCCTAAATCTGCACATGAAAAATTATAATCTGACTAATTTGGGGACTGAATAAGTGCAGCAGGTTGGGTTTTCTATGTTGGGTGATCATCATAATGTACACGTGACATTTGTAGCATTCTTTAATCCATTTTCTGAAATGTATTTGACATTCAATTACAGTCAGCCTTTTGTTTTGTAGAACATTGGTACTATTGGCACAGTCTAAAGCCATTAATAACTTTATCCATCTGATAATTTTACAGTAAGTAGGCCTCAGTTTTGATAGTCATCAAAGAAACATTGTCCACCGTGACATTTAGATTAAGGGCATTTTTAATAGTTGTATGGCTTTTTACTGTTAGACTAATGGAAATCACTAAAGAAACTGTAGCATTTCAAATTATGCATAAGTATATAGCCATTTTGCAGTTTCTTTATGATGAAATACTTAAACTCATTGTTCTTGGTAGATATGCTTTTGTTTTTCTCATAAAATTATACCAGAAAATTTCTTCTTTTTAAGATTTTTGAGTTAGCAGGGATCAAAAGCATTTTGTGGAAACAAACCAGCTAGTAACAGTGCAGCAACACTTTTAATTTAGCTACAAATTCTCCTTTTCCAACTTAGGAAATCCAAACTGAATTGTACATTCAATACAGAGAAAGGTGGTCATCTCCAACAGAAAGTGAAGAGCACTGATTGTGAGGACTCTTCCTTCATCCCCATCTCCTTGTCATAACATAAAATGTATTCTGTACATAATTTACAAATAAAACATTTTATTTTAATTGTTACTTATTATTTAGACATTTCTCAACACTTAAATTTGTAAAACAAAAACCATGTAAGGGTATGTTTTTAGAGAGTTTCAGTAACCCACAGAACATTTGATCTTCCTACAGCAGCTTCAGTTTTGTGCCAACATTCCATATATTTTAATGAGTAAAAATTATACTTATTTTAAGTAAGAACAGACATAAAGTAGCTGTTTGTACGCCTTAATGTTCATTTTGACTTATTTTAAATCTTTACATTTAGAAATGGGGACTATGTTATCAGACCAGAAGGCACTGCTGTCAAAGAAAATTTGCTGTTCTAAAATACCAATTAAAAATAAAGGATATAAAAGAAAACATAGAAAACTATTGGACTCTAATTGCTTCAAACTAGTTTTGCCATTTTATATTTTTATTCACTTTAGTTACAAATCTTTTTTTAATCTTGTTTACTTAACAGGCATTCATTCCTTGGAGCTGCATACAGTCTTATACACTGATAGTGAGCTTTTCCTTCAGTCACAGTGATTTTGAGTTTTGTTATTAGTAAATGGTGGACTACGTAAGGTCTTCGTCTCTCTCTAGGCTGTTTTCCCTCTGAGTATTTGACTAAAGTTGACCTTTAATTGTGAGAAAGTGCATTCTGTGTGTATTGATATCTGATGAAATGTGGCTTGTTTGTTTCTTTAGTCTTCCCTGTGTGGTGACAGAACTGTGACTGCTATCTGTAAGGGTTTCCTCAAAGCAACATGTGTTGATTGTAGTGCCTGGGTACTTTTCATCCACGTTTGCAGAGCCCTGCTGCTTTATTTCCACAGTGAGGAAAGGGTAATTACAGCTTTGAACATTCTAGTTGCAGTAGATTAGTACCCATTTGTGGCTATGAAATGGAACCAGAATGTTTTAACAATAAAACTAACTGCTTTGTTAACCTTTACTACTACGGTAGCCAGGCACTCAGTATTTATGTGCAGGTTCTTTATATGTCCTGTGTCTAGTCTAAAAAGTGAGGAATGCTAGCTATAAAGTCCACCAGTTGATATGTGTGGATTTCTACAGGATGCTAGTAAAATTTTTATAAATATTTGATGACCTTGGGGCGATATTCTTACTGTAGTTAAATATAAGCTAGAAATTTCAGCTTAGTTTCTATTGTGTGCTTCAAGGTTGAATACTTTAAACAAATATAAAAATCAAAATTCTTCCTCTGTCATAGTCTTCAGAAGTCTTTGTTGGCTAACTAAATATCCTCGTGTGGAAGCATGGAGAATTGTTTACAATAGCCAATGGAGTGGTGACTCTTACAAATTGGTTTCATATGCTGCTGTAAGTAGAAGCACAAGGGTTTTGAATAACGTGGGATTTATTGTGGAGTTTGTACATTGACCTAAGCAGGATTGAACTAATGAGGGCCCGAGTCCAGATGGAAGAACAGTGCATATGTGAATGTTCTCAAAATTGTGTTATTATATAGGGTGCTTTTCCTTTTCCCTCCTACTGAATTCTTTAATTTTTAAATTATAAGGCCTTCTAGAGAATGTTAATTGATAATCTCAATACTAAGTAATAAATTGTAATATATTACATTGAAATATGCAGTAGTGGTGGATTTTGGTGTTTTCTCCCTCTTCCTTTTTTTTTTTTTTTTTAATTTTTTGATTATAAATTCTTTTTATATTAAAAAAATAATTAACTTTGAGAATTTTTTTTTTTTAAATTTTTTTTTTTTTTTTTAATTTTTTGATTATAAATTCTTTTTATATTAAAAAAATAATTAACTTTGAGAATTTTTTTTTTTTAAATTTTTTTTTTTTTTTTTCTTAAAATTTTGAGTACTAATTAGCTTCTAGCTAGAAAAATCCTGTCATTTGTAAGTTTTCTTTTTTAAAACTTTTAGGAATTGAAAAACATGTACAGTTGTTTTTCATTATGGCTATATTTTATGAAGTCTGTGAAACACAGGATTAGCAAATCCTGAACCACCATGTCTGAGGAAAGTAGGGGGCTCAGCCACTACAAACCTCTTTATAGCATTTAGTCAACCAACAGTAAACCTGCTTTAACTGTCTCTGCTTAAAAGATATGTCGATATATGTGATTGACTCCTTAGCATTGAATGGAATATTAATTACTACCTGAGTGAAGATTTTCTACATATTTTATCCATAATTTACATCATTATATTTTTGCCCTTAGGGAACAATGTTAACACTACCATTGGTGACTATTTTAAACAAACAACAAAAAGCACAAAAGTGAAAAACAGACTTAAACAGCAAAACAGTCCAAGATCTAGAAGAAAACAGCCCTGGAATAGAATTTATTGATGAATCATGCCTGGAAATAGTTTCTAGTCGTATCGTTAGCAAATTGCTTTTTTCTCTGTTACAGCAATATTTCAGGTCTATTCATTGATTGAGTAATACTGAGCTCTTTGAAATGTCAGAATCTGCTAAGGCACACCCATGAATGGAAATGCAATTCTGCCACCATGGAGCTCCAAGCAGTGTGGTGAGTGCTGTGCAAGTATTTGCCAGAAATGCTGGGTGTCTCTTACCTGCCCAGCTCTTCTTGGGTTCTGCCCACTGAGGGTAACTTGAATGGAGATGAGCAGTAGACTCCTGTCTCTTCTGGCTTCTGGGCGTTTGTGGCCCAGAAGTGTCAGCCAAAATTCAGGGAGGCTGTCTTCTTGGCTGGCAAAGGTCACCACTTTTCCCTGTTGTGCTGGCACTCATTTTGGTCAGGGTAATGTCTGCTCTGATGCTGTCTCATGCAGTTTCCAAAGCAACAGTGTTTTCCTCGTGGGTTCCCACACTCAACAAAACTACTAGTGTTGAATGAAGCTGTGTGTTGTTGGCAGTAAACCCAGACAACTAACTACCTGCTTGTCAGAGCCTCATTTGCATATTCTACCTTCAGCTGACCAAGTGTGTGTAACAGATAAATGCATAAGTACACGTGAACCAGGGGCTGGAGAGATGGCTCAGTGGTTAAGAGCACTAGCTGCTCTTCCAGAGGACCTGGTTCAATTCCCAGCACCCATATGGCAGCACACATGTGAACCAAGTACACAGTCCCTTTGAAACTTAATTACATGGCTTTTCTACCCTACCATTTCAACATGAAGAGTACATTGTTAAGTTGGTCATCTTAGAATTGGAAGAAAAAAAATACACTTCCTTTCAAAGATCTAATTTATTAGATCTTTGAAGCCAGGGCAGGAACCTGGAGGTAGGAACTGATGCAGACGTCATGGAGGAATACTGCTTAATGTCATTCTCTCTCTGACTTGCTCAGCTAGCTTGCTTGCTTCCCCCCACCCCTTTTTTTTCTGGAGGACTTTTGGTGTGTGTGTGTGTGTGTGTGTGTGTGTGTGTGTAAGAGGGTGTCAGGTCCCCAGGAGCTTGAGTTACAGGTAATTGGGAGCCACCCAGTGTGGCTCAGGTCCACATTCCTGTGACCTGTTATCATGGCATTAGAGGGGGAGGACAGGCTATTTCTCTCAAATCAAATCATACCAAAGCCTCATTTTTATTTTAAGGTAATACCTACAACACCTCACTTTTTTTATACCCACAGACCCTATCTCAAAATAAGGTCTCTTAGTGTTCTATTGCTGTGGAGAGACACCACGACCATGACTTCAGCAACTCTTAAAAAGGAAAACATTTAATTGGGTGGCTTACCATTCAAAGGGTCAGTCCATTATCATTGTGGTGGGATATGGTGGCATGCAAGCAGACATAGTACTGGAGAAGCTGAGAGTAGTACTACATCTTGGTCCAGAAGCAACAGGAAGTGAACTGTGTCACTTGATATAACTTGAACATAGGAGACCTCGATGCTTACCCCCACAGCAACACACTTCCTCCTAGTAGTGCCACTCTCTTTGGGGCCCTTTTTCTTTCAAACCACCACATAAAGTTTTTGGTTTTTGTTTGTTCATTTGGTTTTTGTTTTTCTTTTTTAAGATTGTGTTGCTTGTAGCCATATGGCAAAGTATGGACTTTGATTATGACTATTACCTAAGTAATCATATTTGTCAGCATTGCATTCCAAAAGCCAATGATATTTATAAGATTAATGTCTCGTCTCCCTACATTTATTTGTTACTTAATCCTTAATATCTACACCTTGCCTCCTTCGTTAACACAATAATCAACTTCATGTATGTTTATAGGGTTTTGAGTAGATTATATCTTTTAGATTATAGTGAAGATTTTTCTTGTAGTAACTTTTTTAAATAGGAGAAGCAGGTCAGAAACCCATCCTGAGATAATTCTTCAGTCATTCAGCAAACATCCCCACAACAACTATTGTTGCCAGGTACTGTGTAATCACCTAAATCAAGGTGCACAAACTCATACAAAAAGTCACAACAGAGTGTAGTGTGATGATGAGAGTATCTGTGGCTTGGCCTGTGTCATCACATAAATGAATGCAAGCATAGACTGGGGAGGTCTAGAAAGGTTTTCCCTGGGTGTATCTTGATCTGAAAGGATGAAATAGTATTGTCTCAGGTCAGAAGTAGAATAAAGCATCCAGATAGGTGTCTAGTTAGTGTTTCTAGTGCTAAAATGATCAAAATCAATGTGGGGAGGAAAGGGTTTGTTTCACCTTACAGTGTAAGTCCATCACTGAGGAAGCCAGGGCAGGAACCTGGAGGTAGGAACTGATGCAGACGTCATGGAGGAATACTGCTTAATGTCATTCTCTCTCTGACTTGCTCAGCTAGCTTGCTTGCTTCCCCCCACCCCTTTTTTTTCTGGAGGACTTTTGGCTTTTGTTTTGTTTTGTTGTTTGGTTTGGTTTTTGATTTCCAAGACAGGGTTTCACTGTATAACAGTGAAGCAGGTCACTGGAACTCACTCTGTAGATCAGGCTGGCCTCAAATTCAGAGATTTGTCTGCCTCTGCCTCCCGAGGGCTGGGATTAAAGGTATGTGCCACCAAATCCTGGCTTCAGCCTGCTTGCTTTTTTTTTAATTCTGTTTTGAGATTATAATTATAATTTACATCATGTTTTGAGACTATAATTACATTGTTTCCCCTTCCCTTTCCTCCAAACCCTCCTCTATATCCCTCCTTATTCTTTTTCAAATTCCTACCCTCTATTTTTATTAATTTGTATTATATACATTCCCAAATACATAAGTAAAATCTGCTTGTTCTATATAATGTTACCTATATGTATGTTTTCAGGGCTGACCACTTGGTATTGGATGACCAGTTAATGTGTTCTTAGGGAAGACCATTTCTCTTGCCTGGGCGTATCTGTAGTTCTTTGTGTAGGCTAAGGCCTCATGGAATTTCCCTATCCAATGTTAGCATGTCTGTTATCCTTGTTCATGTTTAGGCAGTCATGTT